GTCAAGTTTAATGCCATTTAAGAGTGTTAAAAACAAAAAAATGCAAGATACTCTGATTAGAATAGTGTTTCTCAACCTTGACAACTTTAAGATGGATGGATTTCAGCTCTCAGAATTCCCCAGCCAGGAATTCTGGGAGTTGAAGCCCACCCATCTTAAAGTTGCCAAGGTTGAGAAACACTGTATTAGAATAAAGAAATTTATAGGGAAAATGTAGCCTTCAGACCATTGAGTAGCTATAATTGCAAATATGAAGGCAGTGACATTAACATTTTTTTTGAAATAAGAGTAGTTGTAGTTTTAGTTGACAAAATAGTAGATTTGATTGAGCTATTTGGAATTGTTACACTTCAAAGCACCTGTTTAAAAAACAGCTTTATTTCCATAATTTGATTTCCTTTTACAAAAAACCAAAATTGGTTTTCCTGTATCAAGTTTGATCAATCAAGGACTACCTGTGCGCAATCTGTGTAGTGACTATATTTATAGCTATTTGCCAAATTGCTTCTTTTCTTAGTCTTTTAGTATTGGGAAGGGAAAATATATATGTTACTATATTTTTAAATTGGTGCATATAAGAATAACTAGAGTTCATCTGTAATGCATTGATTCAGTTTACATTCATGGAATATGCAGGACTTTCACGGTCAGTGTGGAAGAGGTGTATTTAAATTTGTTAGTGCCAAGTTTTAAAAGTAACAGTGGATGATACATGTGATACATGTGCTGGTGACCTTCAGGTTTGATGACTGTAACATGTTGTATGTGAGTTTAGAAATTTCCATTGGTATAGAATTGAATAGCTAAGTTTGCTTAGGAAGAACTCAGAGACCATACGGTTAGTTAGTTAGTTAGTTAGTTAGACACACACACACACACACACACACACACACACCAGTAATAAAAGCATTGTACTGGCTGTCAATTTGCCAAGTGAAGTACAAATGTTGTTTAATATCTTCAGAGCCCCTATATGGCTTGGGTTTAAGTTACTTGAAAGAATGGTTCCCTCCAATTTTCTCACTGAAATAATATAAGTTTCTATACAGTTAATGCAGCCTCCTTTTGCAGCAACTGAGTCAAGTCTGTCTTGTAGCCACCTCAGTTCTTTGGAATGTTTTCCCTGCTGAATTAGGGACCTTTAGTTTTTTGCTGTCAGTTTAAAATACCCTGAATCAAACCTTTTTAAACCGTATTTTAACTGAGGATTTCAATTTATGATTTTAATTGTGGATTTAATTTCTGGCTTTAATTTTGATTCAATATTTAATTATAAACCTCCAAGAGACCATGATAGTTGGCTGTATTATAAACATTAATAAATATGTAATAAATGAATAAGTAGATCTGATGATTCCTTATTGAACCTTGATCTTCAAGCAGAAAAAAGGGGTTATTTAAGTGATAGTCATTCTCTTCCGGAGACAGGTTAATATTCAAATACAGAAGAGCTACTTCATCCCCATATTTTCTGACTTTTCAGACCTGGTGAGTCTTCTGATTTCATCCACAGTGAATACACAGATCACAACAAGTGACAAAAGCTTGTCCTACTGCCAGTCTAATAACTACTTAAATTGGTATTACTAAAGCAGTTTAATAAAGAAGTTACTTTCTATACCCTTTCCCCATCTTAACTCTCTGTTCCAGATGAGAATATGTTGTGCCACACTTGGCAGATTTAATACTGCCTGTCTGTATGGTCCTTATAGTGAATGTACCTGTGCCTGTTTTTGAATTGTCTAAATACTTAATGTAGGAAAGAAATATCACTCTTCTTCAAAAGGAATTCTATTCTTAATTTATTGGACCATGTTTTCAAGGCAGGATATTAGCTCAAAAGAGTAGAATGTTTGTGAGTAACTGCTGAACTGCCACTATAAAAATCCACCCCCTGATGACTGATGATCTAGCTTTCATTAATTCAAATTACTGGTTGTCTTCAGAAACTGAAATGTCAGTTATCAGGAAGTGACAGTCTGTTGCAATTTAAAACTTACATTTTTCTCTCTATCAATGATACAGTTAAATTATTCACTAACTTACAAAATAATCCAGATAAATAAGTTTAAAGTAATTTATGTTGCCTGATGGTAATATCAGAGAATTAAACTGAGTGCATATGAATTATTTTACCTGGGTTCTGCCTTTAAAAACAATGGAGAAGCTTTTTGATTAAGTTCTCTAGATGTGCTAGCATAGCTTGGTTAGACTCTTTAGTGACTCTTCTGTTGCTTGTTATATTTCTGTGGGTGTTCCATGAGTTCCTACAACTTTCTGATTTGGTAATGACTGGATTGCTGATCTAACTTCATCTTCTAGTACATCTTCTAGTACTTCTTATAAGTAGGGAATATCTCCTAATGTACGATGTTGACATCTTTACTGTACAGTATTTCAGTATACTCCTTCCATCTTTGATTTCCTTTGAATCACTTACTCTCTGTCCATTGGCATCCTTATCATAACAATTTGAGGTTGGAACCTCCTGAGTTCACTGATCTTTTGGAAGACTTTGCTTGTTTTTCAGTGCCTATTTCCATCTTCAGTGTCATTACAGATGTCATTCTACTAGTGCTTCTTGTCTCTTCTAACACTCTGTAATGCTTTGTGAACTTCCTTCCTGAGATTTTTTTCTTTCTTGGTTTTGACTTCTCGGCAATTTCCACAGTTTGTTCTGACATCCAGTATGCTTTGCTCTGTTTCTTCGTCTTTGGCAGTCTCTTTTCACATTCTTCCTTAACAATGTCTTTAAGTTCATTTTACAGTTCTTATGGTTCTCTATCATTGAGGTTTGGGACTTCAAAGTGATTCCTGATGTTCACCTTAAAAATGGTGGTTATATACTCAAGATCATATTGTGGAAACTGGTTGGCTTTCTTCTTCTTTAGCTTAATTTGGAACTTGTACATGAGCAGTTCATGATCTATTCCACAGTCAACACTTGGCCGTGTCTTTGATACTATAACTGAGCTCCTCCATCTCCTTTTAGCAATAATATAGTCAATTTGATTTCTGTGTACTCCCTCTGGTGATGTCCACGTAAAGAGTTGTCATGTTGGTTGTTTGAAGATAGTGTTAGCTATAACAAAATCATTGGAGTGGCAGAAATTGATAAATCAGTTGACATCTCTACTGTACAAAATTTCAGTATATTCCTTCCATCTTCATTTAATCTTCCTTAATCTTCTTACTATTTATCCATTGGCAACTTTTAGCATGGCAATTTGACATTGGAACCTCCTGCTGAATTCAGAGCTCTTTTGGAAGACTTTCCTTGTTTTTGTCTTTTTCCATCTTCAGTGCCTTTTTTTTTTTTTTTTAAATCTGCACTCAATCATTACCGACTCTGCAGGGACTGCTTTTTGGACGAGTCCTTTGCAGTTTTCAAGGCAAGGTGTTTCAGAAGTGGTTTGCCAGTGCCCCCTTCCAAGAGCAGAGCCCAGCTGGCAAGCGCAGGAGGCGGGGTTTCCGTTGCTTCGCTCCTTTTTTGGGCGAGCACGGCTTCCGTGCTATTGGCAACTGCTCCTGACTCCTTTTGCAAGGGGCCGCCAGCATTTTTCCTCCCACCAGAGTGAGAGTACCCATTTATCTACTCACGTGAGTTTTCGAACTGTTGGGTTGAGAGGAACTCGGGGAGGAACCAGGAGCTCACTCTGCTACACGAAGGCTGGGCTCGAACTGCTGAAGTGTCGACCATTTCCGGCTGGCAACTTTCAGCGTCATTAAGCCGCTGCGCCTTTACAGATAACATAATTTTGCTTCTTGTTTCTTTTAACAGTTCTCAGAAATTCTTTGTTAAGTTTCTTCCCAAGAACTTTGTTTTTCTTGGCTTTGGTTTTTATTCTCTTCTTGGCAATTTCTACTGTTTGTTCTGATGCCCAGTTTGTTTCCTTCCATTTCTTAGTCTTTGGCAATCTCTTTTCATATTCATCCTTAACAGCTTCTTTGATTTGTTGGCTTTGCTTTTCCATTTTAGCTTGATTGGAATTTGTACATGAGCAGTTAATGATTTGTTCCACAGTCATCCCTTGGCTGCATCTCTGCTATCATAACTAAGCTCATCCACTTTCTTGTACCAATAATATAGTCAGTTTGATTTCTCTGGGCTCCGTCTGGTGATGTCCATTTATATAAGGGTCATTTTGGTTGTTCAAAGAGAGTGTTAGCTATGAAGAAATCATTGGATTGACAGAAAGTGGTAAGTTGTTCTCCTGTTTCATTTCTGTTTGTTAGGTCATATAGTCTAACTATGTTTTCCTCCATACTATTTCTAAAGTTGGCATTCCAGTCTGCAATAGCAAGTAGCACATCTTTCTTGCATGTTGTGTCAACTTGAATTTGAACGTGCTCATTAAACTCCTCAACTTTCTCTTCTTCTCCACCAGTGGTTGGAGCATAAACTCATATTAAAGGGCTGTCCATGCTTCATTCATCCCTCCCAGGAACACCCCCCTTCCCTGAATCACAGTGAGGCAGGATAGCAAGATTTGAGGGGTAGAAACTGAACTTTGCCCAAATATATAAAATAAAATTACTGACAGGGGACTGATTAATAGACATTGTCATGTTAACTGGGCTGGTTGTCCCTGGATTTCTGGGCCCAGTTAAAAGTGTTGGTATTGTCCTAATGGATAAGCAGAACTAAGGAAATGTTCATCTTATTTGTACCTGCTTGGAGCTTTTGTTCACCTACTGTGAACCAGTCTCCTCCAGATAAATAAAGCTAGATTTTAGCTGTAAGGAAAGAACCTGTTTAACTGTATGCTTTCCTTATGGAATACCCTCCTCAAAGAAACTTGTCTGCTGATCATATTATCTTGTTCAGTGCTCCCAGGTATCTTAGATTTTGTAGCTTAGTTTAAAGAGTTGTTAAATGCTCATAGTAGCTTAAGATAGCAGTTTTTATGTATTTTTCCCTGTACAAATTCTGTTACACTTTTATTATCTAATATGTGTCTGTTATTTTATATTTATAATCCACTCAGAATCATTGTACAGAATAGAGGAATATAACAAAATAAATAAGTAAAGATTCTTATTGTTGTCAGTAGTTCTCTCATTTGAATTAATAAACATGATGCAGCAGTTCTTAAGAAATGCAATTTCATAATTAATGACTTCCCATTTCTGAATAAGCGGTCCCATTTCTGACAATACTAAGGAGATAATGCTTCTTTTTCCTTTAAGGTATTTTGTGGTTGTTACAGGTAGACCTTGTTTAACGACACTAATTGGGACCAGAAACTGTTGTTAACCAATGCAATCTTAAGTCAAAAAACCACATGACTGCACCGCTTACTAACAGCAGTTCCAGTTGTCATAGTTAAACGAGGACCATGCAGGTTGTTAAGCGAGGACCTCATGTGACCACGACTTCCAACTTCCTGTTGGCTTCCCCATCAACTTTGCTTGTGGGAAGTGGGCAGGGAAAGTTGAAAATCGCAATCATGTGACCAAGGGACGCTGTGATGTCATAAGTATGAAGTCTGGTTGTAACTAACACTCATTCAGCGCCATTGTAAGTTCAAACAGTCGCTGAACGAGTGGTTATTAAACAAGGACCATCTGTATACTGATCATCTGTTCTTATATTTGGTATGGTTTTTCAGGCTAATCGTGATGCTGTATTGAGTAGAATACCAGAACACAAAAATGATCGCATCATCAGTTTGCAAAGTGCATCTGTAGTGTACGATTTGCTTACCATTGCCTTGGGAAGAAGAGGTCAATATGAAATGCTGTCAGAGGTAAGCTGTAAAATAAGGCCTAGCATCCATTTTGGAGCTATATCCTAGAGCCACAGTGCATGGCTTATGGACACATATAGCTGGAAGCTCTCCTTTAATATCTGCTGGGGACCTTGCACCCTGTTTTTATTTTATTCTATTAAAAGATTTTTTTAAAATTCAAAGCATATATAGGAAACCATCAATTTCCAGCATGATCTATATCTAGTAATGCCTGTGGGCTTTTCACAGACTGCAGCGACAATCTTAAAAAATAATGTGGTGGATAAAGTATGAAAATTAAAATGTGGATGTGATCTTGAATTTTTAGACCATATAATACAACTACTCTACCAAAATCACTATCTGTTGATTTGTTACCTGGGCCAGTGCAAAAATACTGTATGGAATGTCATTTTCTATAGATTGATTGGGATGTATTCCTTCTGTCCCTAACTAGAGTAACCAAAAAGTAGAATTCAGTGATAACAAAAATTCTCAAGTAGTAAAGTAATAGCTAAGTTGGATTTTTAACCCATGTTTTTTGGGTAAGCTGTGATTCAAAGCCAATCATGGTATCCACAAATTAATATTTATGTTGTGTCTTTGTTTTTAAATTCTCTGATTCAAAAGCATTCTTGGGAGCCAATTATTTAGTTTTTTTCTTTTCTTTTCTTGCTTTTCTTTTTATAATAAAAGCAGAATTGGGTGCTGGTTTTCTAGTAAAGATCTCTATTTTTAAAAAAATATTTTTGTGATAGCAGTTATATATAGGCTGTAAATCCTGAATGTAGTGGGGTTTATTTCAGAGTAAATAAGTACACAATTGCATTAAGGAAACATAGAAATAATTTTAAAAGTTAAATTTCAATATTTTATAAAATAGCAATAGTAAACATATACTAGTATATGGACTATGGGTACTCAAAACTCTGGGGGCTGATCATGGAATATTCCAGTGTTGCCCAGAATGTTGTATTTTTCTTCTGGAATGCACCAATCCAACCATTCTATAGGTGGCTCTTATTTTAATTGAGCTTCCAGAACAAAACATGGTTCATGGTATTTTGGATGTGGAATGTGAGAAATATGCTCCCATGTCAGAAGAAGCCTTTGGGAAGGGAATGGGGCCTCTGTGTGGTAAATATATTTCTCTTTAAGAACTATCAACTCTTTGTTGCTTTTACTGCTACCATCTGGAAACTAAATTCTGTACCTACCCTGGAAGTAAGCATTATGGATTTTCATCAGAATTAGTTCTGAAAAGGATTTGAAAGATGTAACTGTAGCAGTCACTTTTGCTTCATAACTTTTTTCCTGGATAGCTGATACATGCTTCTCTGCCTCCCATTCTTTTCTTGCACTATTTTGCACTGCTTTCTTTTTTTTTCTTTCTGAGCCCTTCTTGCTGTCCAAGTTCTCTTTCCTTCATTTCCTTTATGATGAGATTTAATTTAGGTATGGATTCTGAAAATACTATTTCTGTTAAATTTGTATGGGAAATAATTTTACTTTCCTATTAAAAAACAATAAGTAATTGAACACAGTAAATGGATTTTAGTTGTTTATTTAATTCAACTTAGGTGCCACCTGACTCCAACTGACTCTGGGTGGCTAACAACATGTTACCATAAAATAGTTGCTGCAGAATGTGGAGTAGCACATGCATCCACCAGGAGTTTGAGGAAGTCAGCTAACATTGTGTTTAAATATGCTATCCAATCAAAATGTTCAAAGTACTTGTCAGGGAATCATTGTGTTTGTTATCACTCCCTGCTTTCTTTTGTACAAGAATATGTTGGGAAGATGAGCTCATTTCTCACTTTCTTACCTTTGTGACCTCACACCTGTGTTGAAACTCCCTTGTTTATCTGTATTTCATGAACATTTCCTTTATGTTACTGTTTTTATGGGTTGCATAGAATAGATTTATACATTGTCCCCCTGTGTGCTGTTGATTCAGAAATTTAATTTGGTAGAACTTTTAAAGCTGAGTTAAAAGGAATTCACTTTTTGACGTAAAGTATCTTGAGAATTTTTATTTTCTTTTGTTAATTTCAGCATGAAATTCCCATTATAAAGTAATTTAAATAGCATTCTGTGGATTGAGAGAAAGACAGGGACAGGGAAAATGGACTTTGTCAGTAGGTTGAACAAACTTCCTGAAAACAAAACATGGTTTTATAGTATACCCCTGCCCTTTCTGTCCCCTATTGCTTGTGCCTTGCATTATGTTCACTTAAAATAACCCAGACTTTCATTCTTACTTGCATACAACAACAAAAACAAAAAAAGCCAACAATAGTCCTTAAGCATACTTCTTTCCCAGACTTTGCCTAGCAAAAAAATATTGCTATATTGGCCTGCCAAGAGACATATAGATGGTGACCTAGGAAAAAAGAGAATGCAAAGATACATAGGATGGGAAAATGAAATAAGACAGGGTGGAGGCAGTCATATGTTAGGTTCAAGTTACAGTGAAGCCTTCATAAATTGTAAAAATAAAATAGTAGACTTCAGTCATTTGTATCCTGCCCCCCGGCATGTTATTTGTATTCTATAACACTTATAAAAAGTACAGTGCCTTGCAAGCATTGTTTTGTTTGCCAGTGAGTGTAATTACCAGCTAATATAGTCAGTGTAGAAAGATGAGTACTGTTAGTTTAAATAATTTATACTTATTAATGATTTGTATTCTCAATTTTATTGCAGTGTTTGGAAAGAGCTATGAAATTTGCCTTTGAAGAATTCCATCTTTGGTATCAGTTTGCACTTTCCTTAATGGCAGCAGGAAAAGTAAGTCTCTTTGCAAATTTTGTTTTATTACTGGCTGCTAATGGCAAAAAAGTGGGCTATACTCATTCACACACTGTATTTGTGTTATATAAGCATTCATAACTGGGTATAGAATGGCATCTGTAGCTCTGCACAACAGGCAAGTGCAGCCAACAAACTGTAGGCACCTACTTGTTAGAGTAGAAAGGTGAATATAACACAAATTAATTAATAATGTTGGGCATGAAAAAGGTATATTCTATTTGGCATATTCTATATGGGTAAGGTGTAATATGGCTTACTGCGGGGTTAGCAACCCTTTTCAGCCTGGGGCTCATGTCTTCATTCAGCTTACCTTTTAGTCTAAAATGTATGGCTGGTGACATGCTGTAATCAAATTAGGTGGGCTTGAAATTTGGGAGCTATTTTGAGAGTTTAGAGAAAGGCTAAACAGGGAAGTATGTAGTCTTAAGCCTGCAGAGGATTCAAAGTTTGAGGCACAAATTTTGCCCTGTAAGCCAAACTCAGAAGGGAAAACTCATCCGTTAGAACATCTATTAATGGATGTAATAGGTGCATTAAACCTTTGTAAGGCTTATGTATGTTTGTTTGTTTGTTTGTTTGTTAAGGCTTAGTGTCAGCTTAATGCCAGCTCCTTAAGCTCTTTCCCATGTCCCAAAATTTTTTAAAAGTCCAAATATTTCACTTTTGTCACTTTATCAGTACTCTAGGAACTATAAATGGGGTGCTATGGATGGAAAAGCTTTCTCTCTAGCTTAGTGTTACATGCAAATGTATTCATTGCCCCTGCCCAACATTTTATTAGAGGACATCTTGGAACCCTCTCAGGTTTCCATGGAAAAAAAAAATTGCTAACAAGAGAAAAAATACTATGAAGTAGCCTTTGTGGGTTCCTTCTTTGAAATATTGCTTATATTTCATTGCTCCTAAATGGAAAACAGTTGTAACGTGCATAACTATCACGCTATTCAGCTTTGGAGTAAGCAAAGCTATGCATAGCATAGAAAAGGAGTAAGAAACAGTAAGCCAAAGAAATTAAATAGATTTTTAAAAAAGAAATATAGCTAAATCTAGTTTATACTAACATAATTCATTACATGTCTGTACTCCTTTCTAACCTTTCAAATCATCCTTGCTTCTATCATGTCCACATACCATTTCATGTTCTTTAAACTTATCAACTCTTTCTTTGTGTAGATCTAATCAACTCCATCCAAGCATGACTTTCTCAGTCTTCTCTTTCGTCTCAACCCATTCACCCTTCCTTTATATATTTACTTACAATTTAGCACTCATTCATTATCCTTATGTGACCAACTACCTTGGTGTACTTTTTTCTATTGATTAGTCACTCACTTTTGCATTCATTCATCCCTATTCATTCTTGACTCTACCTTTTTTTTGTTTTACCACAAACATATTTCTCCTGACATACCTAGTTCTCCCTTCCTTATAACAAAGTGGGCAGAAGGACACTTTGAGGCTTAGCCATTTTTGCTTTTTTATGACAAATAGGAATTCTTTGTTACAGAATGCATACTGCCCAATATCATTCTACTGGTATTTTCCCATCTTAAAATTTCTCCATTCACTTTTCCATCTTTAGTAAACATTCTATCTACCAAGATACTGCTCATTCCAGTTTTTTGCCAAGTATGTATAATTTGCAATCATTCATTCCATTTCTTTTCTTAGAAACAAAACTCTTTATACATTGATATTTAAATCCATACTCCTCATTGCATCATATACTCTAACATTTACTGCAGATCATTTTGGTTGTCAGCTTAACCCAGCATTTCAATCAAGGGAACATCACACATCATTGTCTTACTCCTTGCTCAGTGTTGGGACATTTGTTAAGCATTCCATTCTCACACATGCTTTATTTGCTTTACATACTGTTCTCATCACATTCAACAGCCAACCTTCAACTCCATATTAGTGTAATATGTTCCATAATTCAAACCTATTTTTATCATAAGCTTTTTCTAAATAAATATATAGTATACTTTTTCATATTCATATATATCTCAGTGACCTGCTGAAGAGCCAAAAGTCTGCATTCTCTCTGCCTATCCAAAAGCTGCCCTGAACATCACAAATTTTGCATATTGTTATCTCTCATGCCCTTTCATTCTGAATTTTGCCAAACACCATGCTAGATTCCCTCCCCACTATAATTTTTGCAACTCTTGCTACCCTTTCTTTTATACAAGAGAACAGTAACGTGTTTTTCAATCATCAGGCACAAACACAGTCCTCATGTACACATTAAGCAAGTTACAGTCACTTATTATTAATACTTCTCAAGTTATACCATCTACAGCTGCTTCCTTACAATGTTTCAATATTCTCACACCATTTATAACTTGTTTTTCATCAGTTTTCATTGACACTAACATTTATAGCATTCATTTCAGTTCTACTCTTTAACGTATCTCTACAAATTTCTAAAATACTCCTTCCAGCATTCCCTCAGTTCCATGCCAAATCATTTCATCAATTTTATTTTTAATTCTGTTTACTCTACCAGAGACTCCTTGTTTAGCCTTTTTCACTCACTTCCCAAACATTTTTTTTTTTTGGCTGGTGTGGGTCTTCCGGGCTGTGT